AATCGGAAAAGTGTTCTTCTTCTCCACTACAATGCACGTTCACATGTGCCACGTTTGACGAAACAAAGTTATGGAGTTGAGTTGGGAAGTTCTCTCCCACCCACCATATTCTCTTGATATGGCACCATGAGATTACCATCTTTTTCGTTCGCTGCAAAACTATCTCAATGGGAAGACGTATGTAAATGTGGAAGGTGTTAAAGAGAACATAGACATGTCTTTTTGCTTCAAAGCCAAGTGATTTCTTTAATCAGAGCAATAACAACCTGATTGTAGAATGGAAAAGCATCATTGATAAGAATGGAAACTATTTCATTTAATAATTTTTTATTTTGATATATAAGTTGTTTTTGCATCTAAAAAAGCGACATTAATTTCTTGACGACCTAATATTTCGATTTACATTTGTAATAGTTTATTGCAGAAACATATCCTTTGTAATTTTACCACGTTGACATCACGACAGTATGTGTGATAGTGTGTTTAAATGTATAGTTAATATACTGATTATGAATTACACTCTATAGAAATGTTATGAAAGTCCCGTGCTGCCCTTAGAATTATTTCCTTCATGGTTGATCTTGTTAGGTTTCATATATGACCATGATTACACATTATTACAGTAATTTCCATTGAAACAACTTTTACGAATGGCGTGGATGTCAATTTTAGAACACACACATCTGGATCAACTTTCCAAAAAGCTTTAGGCAACCCACCTTGACAAACTTTCCACAGAACCTTTTCCATCGTCTTTCAAGACCACGTGTAATTAAATGCATAGAAGTGCATGGGTGAGCAATTTAAAGAAAGGGACAGAATAACCACTGGTTTCATTCTCGTGATCGTAGAAACCCTGTTGTGGACTTAGACGTGGCACATAACGGTATATTTTGATGTAGACATGCCTTCTTGGCGATTGGCAACTCAGTTCAGAAATTTAATTTCGTATAATTTATTTCAAATGTATGCTTTAGGGAAGAGCCATAGAGGCTAACCAGTTTGTAGTTATTATAACATTAAAATCACAAGTTTCCTTGAGACCTTAAAGTTTTTATGAAGACATGGAACATTTGGAGCTATAATGAACTAATTTTATTGACCGATTATTCGTAGTATGCTATGCAAGTATTTCATGCTAAACTTATCTAAACTGAAGGGACGGATAATTTGTGTTATCTAATGAACTATCTGACTTGGTGCTTATTCAAGGCGCATATCAAGAGATTATGTATTTAGCTAATTTCCTATAATTTAATAAACTAACCAATATATAGTGCGTCTCCCAAGTGAAATATTGGGAAGAGAGTCCTTTCCGTCTCCTCGTCCAGAGGCGGTATCTATGGTATCAATACCTTCTCAGGATAGCAAATAGAGTTCGTTTTTTGCTTTGCTGTGCACGCTCAATTTCTCATTAGGTTGGAAACGTGCATCAACCATAAACCCCAAAGAAAACGTTTTTCTACATCCTTTATATTATCCTAGAAAGTCATTATCATCTAGGGATCGGTAGAGAGTCGTGTACTCGTTGCTTATGCACTTTCACAAGGGTAAGATCTTTGTGAATTATCTTGTGTATAGTTGATTGGGATATGTGCAATTTCTTACAATCACTTTCTAGGTAGAGACGGCAGAAATCCAGAATGATCAATGCGAAAGTTGTGGATGCAGTAAAAGCCTCCACTGTAAAGTTTCTATGAGTGCATTCTTACTCAGTCGTTTATATTTTATTTCTTGTAATGTTGCTCGACATGTTTAATTATTTGTGTTTTATATTTCCATTTTGCTAAGATGAAAGGTTTGTTTGTTTGTTTGTTTTTAATTATGCACAAAGCTACACAAGGGCTATCTGTGCTCTGCCCACCACGGGTATCGAAACCCGGTTTCTAGCGTTGTAAGTCCGCAGACATACCGCTGTGCCACTGGGGGGAAAGATGAAAGGATATCGTGAGTATTGAGTGATTCTTTCGATATGAGGGTTGCAGTAATGCAGGGTTGCAGTTACACTTCTGAAATACAAAACTCTGCCTTCCAAAATTTTAAATATAATATTGTGACTATTTTAAAAATATTATCTGGCGTTCTCAAAATCAAGAGGAAATTGTATGACAAAAAGACTTAAAAGAACTTAGTAATATCAATTTGAAGCAATTCACACTAAAGATGTAGCATAATACCGGTTTCTCTTTCTTGTTCAAAATTTATATATGAGTGTGTGTGTATATGTATAGAGAGAAAGTCAGGCTACATTTTTGCACTTCACAAAGGGCACAAAGTTTTAAATTTTCATTTCTTTGTTAAATTAAATATTGTTTGTTATGTATGCAATGAAAATGTGCCTATCTACATTTTTTAACTTAACGATAATAAAGTTGTTTTGAAAAGAACGATTCTAATCACTCCTTAAGTGACAAAATATTTGTCTCAAATATCTACCTTAAATTTTCATAATTCAGAATCTGTCACTTCTTTCTGTAAATATTATAAAGACATTGTGTAGAGAACTAATTGTATTCACACGCTTCTATCTCTGTATTCGATACCGTGAGAAAAATCTTCCTTGTCGTTGGTCTCTGCTAAAGAAGACATTCTCGCCAACTTTTTTCACAAATGGCAATGTTCCAACCCAAGGTGACTATTCTTCCTGTAGCAAGCGCATGCCACATGTTACTAGTGTGAGCTAGTATAGTTGTGCTCGCGACACCTTATATGGTAGGGTATCACGAGAGTGTAGGTGATATTTCTGGCAGTAGATTTTGCGTTTTGCGCTTCAATACATAGTAGGAATCTTTTCTCTCAGCTCCCTTTACCTGAAGGTTACCGATGGCTCAAGAAAGCGGTTGCAGATTTATCGATTTTTCAACTATCACTATGAAGTTTGTATGGAATAAAGACAGGTATACTCACTCTTAAGAATTAGAAAACACGCAAAGGCTCATCATCCCGTTGTATGGTGGGAAGCTTGGGATGACTTTGATCTTATTGGGTATGTACGGGGATTGTTTGCGCAAGCTGACGTAGAACTACAGTGGATAAAAGTGAAATGAAATAGGAAGGGGGAGAGGAAGGGGCCAAACTCTCGGCTACACGATAGTTTAGGTTTCCGGAAAAGTGCCTCGTGTGTTGCAGGCTGCAGCTGTGGGACTTATATAGACACTTGTGTTGGGAGAACCTGGGCTGTACAAGCCGGGGAAGACAAATAGTCCCGGCGAAAGAAAGGACTCTATCGTCACTTATACACACACAAAATACACAAACATAAAGTGCCCAGGTCAAGATGGCTGTCATAAGAACAGCCGCCTTGAATTGGCGATTCTATTCGCTCGTGGCGATTTTGGTGGGAATCACTGGCGTGATCGGCCATGGTAAGTTTTGTTGAACTTTAAAACAATTCTAAGTATTCTCAAATTAATGTGCCAGGATTAATTTGAACTAGGTTTGCTATAGTAACACGTTATAGTACTTTTTGAGTAGGAAAGATATAATTTATCATTCTTGTATTGCGTTTTTGTAATACGAAGTTAAAAAATGTAATTTTGTCTTTGAGTGTTATTTTCGATAAGATTAATATAAAATATATTAAGAGCATGATCACTTCTGTTAAGTAGTAAATATAAGAATATATGTTTCATTGAGTGAACTAAAAAGGAGGAAAAAAACGTTTCCTTTATTAATATAAAGTCTAACTAAGGTCATATGCTTACAAATAACTTCTGAATTAGAGGTTTAGTTGGCTGTTTTTGAGCTGTGAGAGTTGTAAGATACCCAAAGTGAAGTTCTCCTTTTAGTTTTATGGCTTACGGACAGCAAAAACCAAAGATGGCTTAAACTGAATTTTTTATTACAAAATTGTTTGGTGGAATATTTGAATGCTTAAGAAACAAAAGTGTTAAGCCTGCACGCTCTGTATAATTCTAAATTTAGCCTTTCCCTGGTATTGATGACTTTCAAGGACGTTAAAGACATCTCCCAGTTTAGGTAGCCAGGGGTGAAAGGGATTTCCAAGGATTTTCGGTAGTTTTACAATGTACTTCTAAATTGATTTATTGTAACTACTAATTTTAATTCATAGCGTTCTTTGCTCTCTCTGAACTTTGCTTGAAAAAGGTTAATATATACATTACAAGGACATAGAGATTTAATGTGTTAGATTAGTGAAAAACAGTAACCAATTCAATTAAATCACTACCTAAACTATGAAACAAATAAACAAACAAAGAACATGTTCGACCTGTAGACAACTACACTGTACAGATAATAAAATGAAAAGTCCAACCATTCTGCGTTGGGCTGGTTTCGTGTAAATATGTGGCCTCACTATGCCTTCTGGAATGAAGGTCATTTCATTGGTGCCTTGTTGACTCTTTAGGCTTTAGATCTATCTTGTTTTACGTTCTATTTTAACGTCTTGTCAATTTATCAAAAACCTCATTAGTCCGTGTTCTTACTTTTCAAATTGACGTTAATGATGAAATAAAGAAGGAATTAGCAAAATATTATCAAGAAATTAATAATGCCAAAAAAAAATCGGTATTTTTTAATATGTTGTTTTGGACTTTGTATCAATTTGAATGTGATGATTTAAAGTCCTTATTTTAATTCAGATTGTGCGTTGATCGGAAGCTTTACTTAAACGAATGCTGTAAGTAGGCGAATCAAAACTAATTGCTGAAAACTACGCAAATCAAAACTAATTTCTGAATATAGCCACCACCTAAAGAGAGTGGTTCTGTCAACATGTACATTTTGTTAATGATCCAGTTTTGTTTAATTTAATGATCCTATTTATGAATTCTTAATCTCAAAATATTGCTAAAAACCTAAATACTTTCAAAATTTATTTAAGCCTACTGAAAAGTCCCCCTGTGGTACAGTGGTAACTCTACAAATTTACAACGTTAATATGCGGGGTTTGATTCCCCGCAGTGGACACAGCAGAGAGCCCAATGTGGCTTTTTTATAAAAAAAAATAAACAACAAACAAACCCACTGAAAAAACAAATTTTAATAAAAAGCTCCAACATTCTAAGTTCTACCCCTGGACCCCATTGAGGATCTTGGGTCCTCCGATCACTCACTTAATTAGTGATCTGGTAAAGCTTCTGTAAGTTAAGCCCTAAATAGGGCACTTTAGAAAAGAGATGTGCCATGCCTTTAAAATCGATTTATGTTTGTTTTGTCTAAATATACAACCATAAAAGCGGAGTGTTCTCTCTATCTTTCAAGTAGCAGGGTGTATGTTTTACCGCATGACTGCTTATCAATGCTGTAAAATCCTCTGATTTATTAGTCAGGTGCATGTTATAGTGGTTTGAAGAACTATTTGAATACTTCACAATGTTATTAGTGTTATTGTTAATATAAGTATCATGTAATACTATCTGTAAATAGTAAAGTGTACATAGATTTCTGGTTCTAGATTATGCTGTTCTAAATCTCCTTGAAACAATTACGTCAATTAATTAAATATAAAATTAACTAGTTAATTTATATATATATATATATATATATATATATATAGTTAAATTCGACTGACATGAAACAAATGATAATTACATTAGGGTAACTAAATACAGTAATTACCCGCATTGGTAATATTCCTTGGGGTTAACATTTCAAACGATACATTTTTAAATCTACCTTTGTAACAAACATTACTAAAGGAGACGAGATAATTTATTACGCAGATAAATAACTGTAATTGTGATAAATAAGGATAATGTGTTCTTACAGCAGTTAACTATGTCTATTTTCTTTGGAACCTACACGGGAAGAAAAATCAATAAGTAACATTTTAGAACTTGCAAAAAACAAATCAATAAAAACTTACAAGGGAAAATAGTCTTGTTAATTATGCCTACATCTTTAGTGTTTAAATATTTTTTTGTCCATAATAAATAATATGTATTAATAATTTCTGTTATGTTTTACTTTTTTTGGAATATGTGATTTCATTACATGTAACACATCAGTTAGGATAATGAAGATATAACGTCTAGAAAAGAAACAATAGAAAATGATACTTATTTAAGTTATATTTCAAGTAGTATTCTTGAATTTAATATTTATACAATGAGAGATATTTTAGTTGGTCTGTTAATTTGGTGGACAAATGAATTGATGTATATCGTTTCTGATTGGTAATTATTCACAATATAAAATGTAAAATTAAAAATTTTTCAGAGGTTAGGAAACTTTTGTTTATTAAGAATATTGAATTATTTTTGGTTAGAGAAACTTTCTAATAATCTTATAAATCACTTCCTTGACTTATTTTTACTTATTTTAAACTGAAGTTAGTGCTAACGAGTGACATATTTATTGTAGGATGACAAGTGTTATATGTCTAACACAGTGACTTACATTTTATTTACATCTTTACTTAGCCAGTTCGACAAAAGTTATTTTCCTTCTAAAATTAATCACAGTATTTCAAGGTAAATAAATCAACGTTAATGCACATACGGAGTTTTTATGATTATTAAATATAATTTGGATACCAAAATAAAAATAAATCGAGAGTTGCTGTACAGAGTTATTGATTAGGGGTAGACCAGTATATTTCATAGACAAGTGGTGAATCAAATGAAAGATTAGTTCAAATGTTATATAATTTTAAGTTCACTGTGATGAGTAAAAGTAAACTAAAAACACCATACATTTAATGTCCTTTGGATATTTTTACATTTCGCCACCTAACGAACCAGTAAGCAGCAGAAAAGCTAACTCTAGGAATTAACTCTAATAACTGTGATTTACTTTCTAAAGGGTAGATGATGGAATATTTACAGCTAGTCTACTTAAGATTACCGCCCCCTCCCTATCGAACACCAAGGTTTTCCTAAGATGCCACCGTTGTTGGAAAGCTTTCCAAAATTTATAGTTCATAAATGAAGATGTTTCGTTAATATATATTTACTTCTATAAATTAATAAGAATCTTTAGTTAATCTAGTACTAGTTGTGTGAAAATGTAAAAAGCATCAATATTATACACATATACAGTTAAAAGGACTACAACGCTAAAACAATTACACAATAAATAATTTTTTAAACAGGAACCAGCCCAATAATGACTCTACATGTTTCAGTGTTCTTACGCCAACATCTTCAGAAAACATATAGAGTAATTTTAGGACTGGTTCCTGTTTTTCAAAAAAATGCTTATTGTGTAATTATGTTAGCATTGTACTCCTTTTATCACAAGTTCTGTTTTAAATTATTAATGCTTTACAAATTTGCATTATTAATGGCGTTGTTGTTAGCGGAAATAACCTGCTGTAGTTGTCACTTGTACTTTATTTCTTTGTTTTTATTACACTTTTGTGCATTATAAATGATCCAGAGCTTTTCAAAATGATTATGAAATAGTTACTAAGTTTAATCTTTGTCAACGAAATTTACTACTTGACTTGTAGGGTAAAATGTGGGTCCAGTCTGTAGATTCTCAAGCTTACGGTATTGTACAGATACTACAGAGAAAATAGCTTTTGAAGATTAAGGAACTGTAGACGTTAGCATTACCGCATCGACCTTTTTAATAACTGGTAAACTACAACGTCTTAATATAGTACTGTGTTTAATCTTTAACTATACATTTCTTTTTTAAAACGTGTTAAAAATGTTACTATTGATAAAGGTTGTATTGAAAGCGCCAATGTTATTCGTTGAGGCTTTTGAAAGTTGTTACTAGTGAAGTACGTTTCTTTAAAATTAATTTGATAAATAAAAAATATGTAACCTTGTATTTTATTTTATATTTCTAATTAATATTCTTTGATGAAGAAGTAGAAATAATATTACGCATTCGACATGAGGTAAAAAACAAAAACAAACTAAGTGTCTAAATTTAATTGCATGATAAATGAAGCTATGGGACGTATTTGTGCATCTGCTGTCTAGCTGTTAACAGTTTTGATGGGAATAGACTTACATTTAACTGAATGAAGCAACAACGACGTATAGAGAAAGAACAAGGAGCAATTATATAGAAGTAATTAAACACAAAAGAAGAAAG